GCTAATGTATAACCTACACCCTATAATATTCTTCTACTTTTCTTTCCATCAAACATGACCAGACTGGGACATCACTGTAATACCCAGTCATTCTATGGTACGATATGCTTTGTCTGTATGTGTATAAAGGCACTAAAACACAAGAGCTCTGATTATTCATTCATTCATAATGAGACACTTTAGAGATTGCTTTTAGTTGACTTGTATTCATACTTACTGTATACGTCAGGCCATAAAAAGTAAACTGCTGTGCTAGCTTACTTCTACACAATCAGCAACCTTTCCAGCCTGATGGATCACTGGTTCCTAACCTTTTTTTTACTTGAGTACCCCTTGGCAGTTGATTTGTATAAACTGTACCCCTCTGTGGGGGTGGGGCTTGGCTAATAGTGAAGTGCATAGTGCCGAATGGTAGGTGTGGCCAAATTGCACAAACAGTAGGAGGGCATTAAATGCCACAGGTGTTGGGGTCAGTGGGATGAAGGAGGGAGCTAGGAGGCTGGGGTAGGGGTGGGGGCTCTTTGGGGAAAGCCATATTGCAGTGATGTACCCAGTGTTATCTTGGAGTCTCTTTGGGGGTGTGGTCTGTGACACTGGATTCCCTGGATCTAGGGCTCCTTGCACTTGAGAAGTGAAGGGCACATCACACCCCCCAGCTGGGGAATAACTGAGGTGTTGGCAGCCAGAACCATAGAATGAGTGTGGGAAAATGCAACCCTCCGCACACTTTTAGTCCCTGACTCCCCACAGCCACAGCTTTTATCCACCATTACAAAAATATGTTCAAGTAACCCTAAACGTGCTGCCAAGTACCCCTGGGGTACTTATATGCCAAGTTGGGACTTAGACTGACCCAGCCAGTGTTATCTCCTGTAGCCATTTTCACTCTATACATTATTAGAGTATCTTTTAATTGGTCTTCCGCTGCCTCATAGCCACCTGAATTTCAATGCAGTGAAGCAAGAGTTCCAGAATGTCAGTTAGGCAACCAGTATTTTAAGAAGTAGTCAGCAACGGCAACTTCCATGTTTCTCTCATGACAGATTTGTTTAAAATGTAATTTCCTTAAAGTAGAACTGAGCCCAACCTTTTTTTGTTTTGTTTTGGATAGAGTAAAGGAGGGTTATATGGCTTTTTTGCCATCTGTGTCCCATTGGTGAGATTTCTCTTTGCTTTCTGTCTGATAGCCACAACATGACATAAGGAAAATTTTATTCAAAGAGATATAAGTCCTTTGTGGCCATCAGTATCACCAGAACTAGTGCCCCCATTGGAAGATTTCACATCTATTCCTGTTCTGAAGGCAACCCAAAATTTTGGATTTTCTTTCACTTTCAGTGATAATGATCACCAGGACAAATGAAGAAGGTGAATTTCCATGATAGGGACACAGACCGCAATTAAAAGGTGACAGGTGTTCTCCACTCTATCCAAAAACTACAGAAAAAACGTTTGGGCGTCAGTTGCACTTTAAGGTACAAGGATATTTTAATACAGGTATCCTTAACACTGAAATGACCATCTCTAGCAGTACATGGCTGTGAACAATTACACAGCTATGCTAAGTATGCAGATATAATACCCAGCAATATGTGGACTGCAGAGCTTTTGCAGGTTCTGATTTCATTCTCAACATCAACCTCGCAGAGGAAGGGGACAGCACAGTGAAGAATCTTGTTTAGAAATGTACTGTTTTGTTTATTTACCATGGTATTCAGGGTCATCAATTTCTTACTAAAACAACCTGTGCAGGGTTCTTTCACACAAGAATACATTTTTCAGCATTTTAAGCTCAGATGATGTAGCAACAAGTCACCTTCTGTCCCAATGCAGCTCATTAAATGAAAGGTAATACTTACATTTTAACTAGCCTGCAGTTTTTATAATTATAGGAAAAAACTTTACCTAATGAAATTCTACAAACTAAATCAATACAAAAAAAACCCAGTAACCAAAAAAAGTGCAAGTACAGATGGAGCATATGAACCTACGTTCTATAGAAAATCACTAAACAGGAGGAGAATTGAACAGAAACTTTCATCTAAAAAATCGACTGGATTTATGGTAATTCGCTACTTAGACGAAGCAACATGTTTTCACTCTGCCAACGTCCTGATTGACTCTACAGGGTAAACAAGTTCATTCTGGGTGCAGGCATGTTGAATAGTACTTTGAGGCATGCAGCTTCAAGAGGTATTTTGCTATACATTGCCTGTGTACTAAATGGCTGCCCTTTGCACTAAAGTGACCATTTCTTTGCCCACTAACGGCCCATTCACACCTAGGCGTTTTGTTGCGCATATGTATGTGCAACAAAACGCTCAGCACCTAATTTCCCATTCCTTTCAATGGCCCTCATTCACACCTAGGCGTTTTGTCGCAAGCTGCAAAACGCCTGTTGCTCAAAAAGGTTCTTGAGTTTCTTTGGGGCGTTTTTGCGCGCGTTTGGCCCCATAGACTTCAATAGAAAAACCTGAAAAATGCACAGGGCATATTTTATGTGCATTTTTGTGCGTACTCATGCGTTTTCATATGTGCACGTGTAATGATCGTAAAAATGCACAACAAAAGCACGAAATACGCTAGGCAAACCGCGCGCAAAAATGCTGATGCCCAGGCATGAGTGCCCCCTAAGGCCCCGTCCATATGAGTGGTCCTATCAGATCCACCTGTCAGTTTTTTAGGTGGAACTGACCAGAAGCTGAATGTTAGTCTATGGGCAGGTGAATGTGTTCCCCTTTACATTCTCTTACCTCTGAGTCCATCTCAGTCTGGAAAAAAAGGTTAAAGAGTTCCATTTTATCGGCCTGCAACTGGATGGATGGTGGATGGAGGTAAATGGATGTAAACAGACACACATCAAAAACGTGCATGTCAAAGCTTTAAAAAAAAAAATGGATTGGTATTGGCACCTGAAATGGTATGAAAGCCTCCGATTATGGTGTAAAAGTTGGTCTTGACCCTGCCCCCTCTAATTCTAAAAGCTAATTTTTGGTCACTGCAGCCACCCATCACATTAAGAGGCAGATATTGCCATTTACAACTAAGGTTAAGCTGCCTATATCTGGATCCACTGAGTGCTTTTTTTCCATTCGAAACGTGCTCAGTTTGAATTGCCGTGTTGGGTGAAAGTTTTGCTTAGCACTGAATTTATAGTGAACTAAAACAATGTAAAGTTTCATCAATACGTTACTACAGACACCGAGAGGCAAATGCTTTTGGACCCCCCCCCCCTTCCAGCTCCTCTAGACGCCTTAGCCTCTAAATGTGATAGCCTAGCTTATTCACCAATTAGAAGACACAAGAGGGGCAGAACATGATCATTTTCTAGCTGAGGCTCCTATTTGCATAGCAAAGCCCCTTGCGTTCTGCTGCTCTTGGTATGGTCTAGAAGTCTGCTGAAGGTACCTCTGAGTTTCTGCATTAACATTCTGCTGCAACTTTACTGTGTTTTATGTCACTGCAACTAAATAAAAGATTTGCTTTAAAGAAGAACTCTGGGCATAAATAATCTTAACCCTTGCAGTGGGGCTACCCTCACAGTGCAAGGGTTAACTGCTCGTTTTCATCTTGGGACAAAAAACAAAACAAAGTTACACTCACCTGAACCTTAGAGCTAGCTGGCTGCTAGACCAGTCCCTGCAACCTCTCACCCCCCTCCTCCGGAAGTTTATAGTCCTGTGAGTCATCACGTCCAATACAGTGTATTGGACGGGAGGACGCCAAGGGACATACCCTCATTGGAGCAGAAGAGGATAGGGACTGCAGGGTCCGGTTTGGGTGAGTATAACTTTGTTATTTTCATCCCTAGACAAAAACGAGCACTTAACCCTTGTATCACCACAGAAAGGGTTACGATTATTTCTGGCTGGAGTTCTTATTTATGTCAAATAATTATTTGGATAGTAAAACAATTTCAGACAGAAGCACAACAATGTCCATATTTTATAGCTACCCTACGTAACTATTATGCCACTTAAAGCTGAGCTCCGGGCACAAAACATTTTATTTAAATATATTCCTTAATATATTTAAATAATATTACAATTCTGTACATAACACCAAATGTTTCCCATTTATGGGGGTTGATCTACTAAAGGCAAATAGGCTGTGCACGTTGCAAGGGAATTTTCACTTTGCAAGGGACGTTTCCCCCTTAGCTTGGTGAATGTGGTGACAATTCACTTTGCAAAGAACATCCAATCACATGTAAGGAAAAAACCAACACCAAAAAAACATTATTTTTACTTGCACATGATTTGATGGTGCATGTCATTGGAGCTTCATCTCATTCACTAAGCAATGGGAGAATTTAAAATGCTCTTGCAAATTGAACAGCTTATTTGCCCTTTGGAAATCAAGCCCACGGGATCAACAATGACGGCAAACTCACTGACCCTTTTTAATCAGGGAACCTGGACAACTAATAGTCCTACTGACTGGTCATATGCCAATTCTGTTATCAGCACAGCATTCTTAGAGTCCTCGCAGATGCCACTATTTCATAAGGAAACATGTACTTTTCACACAGATTAACGTGAACAAATAAACACTTTTTAAATAAGCACATGTTGTAAAGACAGGTGGCATGTTTGCATTTAAAAAGAGAAAAGATGGACAACTTAAAGCTATACATATGGGAAATTTCACGGCTTTATCCCACAGACGGTTTTGAAATGATAAGTAAAACATGTCACATACAATGTTTTATGCTGCATGAATAGAGTTCATTAGTTGTGTACGTCGATCAGATGTCTACAGAGCATGTCCTTGTTAGCACAACAGATGGGTCACAATGGAGCTACATACGGTTTAATACCACATTAATTGTTGTGTATACCACAACGATAAACACTGCATTTTATTAAACACATCAAGAACACTAACAAGTTTCTAGGAAAAAGTAATCAATAAACAGATGGTAAAGAAACAGGTAGAAGAGAAGAGAAAGCAGAGATGTGGAACATCATAACAATGAGAATGGATCCCATTTGACATACCACAATCCCAGAACTGTCCAAACTTTTGGATCTTCTGGTCTGCTGCAGATCTTCCAAACTTAACACATACGTGTCGCTCTGTCGGGGAGAGAGAGGAATGCATATAGTGCTCTGCGATAATAAGTGTCGGGAAGCAATGAAGGCTTTTCATGCTCTGCACAAAAATATAAGGGGGGCAAACGACATGCTCTGCAGTTTTCCATCACATCCAGTTTATAACAGGTGGTGCTCACTCGTCTCCCCCTCCTTCCACCTACTCACTGAGATCCAACATCAACAAGGTGAATTTCTATGGAAACCTCAGCATGGAGAGAATCTCCCAGGATACAAAGAGAACACATCAGGTGGGGGAGAGAGAGGGAGAGGAAAAATAAATAAGGGGGAGATTAAGCAAAGAGAGGAGAGGCTGAAAGAGCAGAAAAAAGGTTTCCGTGTCCGAAGTCATCACAGGGAATGCACTGTGAAGGTGACTGATAGCCCCCCTAGTACCACACGCCAAGGTCATCGATGATAGGCAACAGGAGAACCACCTTCAATGTAACCTGCTTTGTTTACAAATGATCGCGTTGCTGCAAGACATGCTTAAGCATGCTAGGATGCTCATGCACAAGAATCACAACAAAAAGGCAAACAGTTTATAAATCTGATATTAAGCCAACAGGAAACACTCCAGTTGATGAGTTTGAATGCTCCAATGATCATAATCAGGCTGCACTTTAGCCTAACCTAGTTAGACATGCCTTGACCATGATTTCTGCAAACATCCCATACAAGTAGAGTTAAGGTAAACAAGCACAATCTTGGGACATAGTACATGGACACAGGTTCACATTTCAGGTACTTCCAGGAGAGGCATGTCTTAAAGCTGAACTCCGGGCATAAAAACTTTCACTGAAAGTGATATTAAACTCAAAGAGTTAAATCTTAAAAGAGAACTGTGGCCAAACCTTTTTTGCCCATAGTTCTCTTTTGAGTCACAGGAGTACAAAACTCAGCAAATAGCAGGCTATTACCCACTATATGCTGACAGCGCAGAGCCGCGCTGCAGCCAGCAAAGATCCCAACAATTTTGTTGGGATCCCCCCCACTGCCTGATGAAAAGCTGGCTCTGCCTCCCTAGAGCCAGAGACAGCTGCGCTCACCCCCACCCATGTCTGTCCCTCAAGTCAGCGCTGGATGAACGGAGATGTGAATCCCAGCAGGGAGGGTGACTGACAGTAATTGCTCTCTGCAGGGAGAAGATCACGAACCGAGCGATCAGTGGTTTGTGATCGCTCTGTTGTCGATCAATAGAAACGACATGTGACAGCTGCAGTGTCACACGTTGGCTCTGACTAAATGTATCTTATTTGTGTATCACTCAGCTGTAAATCCTCAAATCATCTCTGAATTGGTGCGGACACTGTCCTTCCTTCTGGAGGGTGGCTACTTTTCTTCCCCATGGTCCATGCGTGTGTTGTAAAGTATTCATCGCTCCTGTGATGGACTTCAATCTTATGTTTAGTTTACTAATTTGTATTGTGATTGTAGCCCATCATGGGAGTCAGCTTGGAGCTGGCACAAATAAGGTCCAGTATTGTTAATAATTATGGTACTTGAATGCATTGTTAACATTTAACTTCTGAGTTTAGTGTCACTTTAAAGCTGCACTCCAGGCACAAAAACTTTCATTTAAATATATTCCTCAATAACCACAAAGGATATAATCCACTTTGTGGGCACCAAATGCCTTTGCAAATGCAGACATTACTTTCTGAAATATCAGTGACATCATCACCGTGTTGCAACAGGCCCCACCCACTACAGGCTGTCTGCAGAAAACTACGGGAGGGGGCGGATACGAAAACCCTGCACAAGATAGAGCAGCAGTGACCGGCCTTAATACAAGTTCCTTCACAGTGAATTACTGCACAGATCTGCACCAAGATTTCAGTAAGAATACATTGTAAGAATAGGAATTCTTGCATTTGGACAATATTTGCTTGTCCCAGAGTTCAGCTTTAGGCTACCCACATGTTACAATCCAATTGTACAACATTTATTAAATCTACTTTAGTTTTCCCAAAAGTATGTAATGCAAGGGCTTACCCTAACAATCCATTCATGAAGCAAATGCTTATATTTGATGCCAAGTGTTCAGCTACAATGCAGTGATGCTTAATAGATAATTGGTTGAAGCTAATAGGTCATGGGTAGGTATCCGCCTTTGTTACCAACACCTTATTTCCCTATCCATGAAAGGAGGGTAGGATGAGATAGGCATCATGGAGATTTTACTTCAAGCTGGAAAATCCCCACGTGTAGGAAAGCACAATTCTGACTTCAGAAGCGCTCATTAAAACTTCCTATGGGAACCTCATAGTAGCCTGATCTTCATATGAGCATTGGGTTGTGGTCAGGTCCCCTCTGGCTAGTCTGACTCCCTTTGCTGGCACCACAGTCTCTGCCATTGCTTTATGTGTGTTGAGCCTATAAACACTGATAAGCCCAACACAATCAGGGGAGAAGGATAAAGCTGATAATAAAAATGGATCTTTAGGTAGATGAGAAAAAGACACAGAGGGGAATTTATCAAAACTGGAGCAGCTGTGCATGGCAACCAATCAACATCTCTCTTTCATTTTCAAATCTTAACTGAACAAACTGAAGAGAGAAGCTGATTGGTTGCCATGCACATCTGCTCCAGTTTTGATAAATTCCCCCCTTTGAATATTAATATTAAAGTATCAGTAATACTTTTGCGAGTCATTGACAGAAAACAAGGCAACAGCCAGTGAAGGCAGAACTCTGATCTGTATACGTGTCCCGATTCAATGACTAAGAAAGCACAGAAGCCATTAGATCAGAATGACAAGGGAGCTGGAATTATCAGAGGCAGAGGTGAGCAATGGCAGCCCTGTGTTTCTCTCAAAGCAGGTTTCCTTTAATATGGCTTTTATGATCACATAACAAATTACATTGCTGGTTAGAGAGTCAATATCATTATTTGCCTCTGTGACTGAAAGACTTACACATTCTTTCCATGTCTGAAATTGGGCAATTGGGATGTTTTGATCTAATGTTGTCAGAGCAAGATTTTTACATTCCTCTAGAATATAACAACACTGTGGGCAGACTGCCTAATATATACTGCATAGAGCGGATACAAACATTGCCTTAAAGAAGAACTCCAGCCAAAACTTTTATTAACCCTTGCAGTGGGGCAACCTCCACACTGAAGGGGTTAACTGCTCGTTTTTGCCTAGGTGCAAAAAAAGTTATACTTCCCTGAAATGCTGAGCCGGTCCCTGCGTCTCTTGCCTCTAAAGCCTGTCACCTTCTACACTGCAGCATTGGTATGTTCCTCAGCCCACTCATGCCTATACACTATGGGGTCTATTCACTAAGCTGCCGAAGGATCGAGCCGTAGCTTCGGCCCCAGGACCCCTGCTGTACGGGCTATTCACTATAGCCCGTACAGCTCCCGAAGACGGCCGAGCGGCTCACTCGAGCCGAAGGCATATGCCTCGGTTCGACTGAGCAGAGGTGAAAGCCGAAGCTTGCCGAGCGACAGCCTGCTTCTGACAGCTGGGCGGAGCCAGCCATCATCTCATGGCTGGCTCTGCCCACTTTCAGACAGATCAGCTTCCCTGGTTACCAGCTAACCAGGGACGCTGTCATTATACACAGAGCGGACTCTCCGTGTACTCAGTGTGTAATGACAGATGGCGTTCCTGGTTACCAGGTAACCAGGAACGCCATCTGTCATTCCTCCCCTGGACGCTCTGGGAGTCTAATAGGCTCCCGGCCGCTCGATTGAGCAGAGTAAACCTTTCCCTGCTCCCTGCTTCCCTGCTCGTCAGAAGAAAAAAAAAATCACCATAGAAATGCATAGCTAGATTCCTATTGGCTATTTGAATTTGCCATAGCCAATAGCAAACTAGCTATTGCAAAGTGAAATAGCCAATAGGAATCTAGCTGTGCATTCCTCTGGTGTGTTCGTTTTTTTTCTTTCTTCTGACGGCAGCCAACGGCTCCGATGTCAGAAGAAAAGAAAAAAAACGAGCAGGGAAAGGTTTACTCTGCTCAATCGAGCAGAGTAAACACTTTCTAGGAGAAAGTGTTTCTCTCCCGTGCGGCCGGGAGCCTATTAGACTCCCAGAGCGTCCGGGGGAGGAATGACAGATGGCGTTCCTGGTTACCTGGTTTCTTTTTGACGGCAGCAGAACCGCCCGGCCAATAGAAAACAGTTGGGCAGAGCTAGCTGTCACTGCTAGCTCCGCACAATCGTTTTCTAATCTCTTTTTTTTTCTTCTACTTTTGCAACTTTTTTTCTATTCTGCCCGGTCCCACAGAGGGACCGAGCAGAACAGCCGAGCCGAATGCCGCTCAGCTATTCACTCACTGTTGTTTGGCATCTATAAGAATAGACCGAACAGTAGCGAGTAGCCTGCCGGAGGTTCGGCTTAGCCGATCCAGATGTTGGATCGGCTGAGTCGAACTCCTTCTGCACTTCGGGTCAGCCGAACATGCTGGGCATGTTCGGCCGACCCGTAACCACACAAAGCCACCCGATATACGGCTGATTTCAGCCGATATACGGCTGGAATCAGCCATACCAGCCTGAAGTGAATAGCCGAACAGCGTTGGGCTCACTTCGCTTGGGGTCGGTTAGTCACTCGGCTGCCTAAGGCAGCTTAGTGAATAGACCCCTATGTATAGAACATGATTTACAGGACCTTAAAGAGGCTGGATGGACTGGTCTAAGAGCAAGCAGGCTCCGAGGATCAGGTGAGTATAACTTTTTTTCTTGTTATCACCTAGATGAAAACAAGCAGTTAACGCCTGCAGTGCGGGTGTAGCCCCACTGCAAGGGTTAATAAGTTTTTTGTCCAGAGTTCTCCTTTAAGTCTACATTTTTGTGCATTTGTACACACAGTTTTCATGTGTTTTAAGGCTTGAGTGTTTTTATTTTAGCAAATGGTAAATGAGTTACTAGGAGGAGAACAAGCAAAATAGAAGAACATGGGAATCTAAATGTTGAGTATTGAAGAGCTTCTGGAAAGGCACTTCAAATTGCTGAGATGTAAATGGGGACT